TACCATCACATATTGAAGTTTTCAACAGAATCGATCATTTGTGCACTTAAAAATGTAATTGCAATAAAAGCAGATTATTTCCTATTGTCGTGAACATGAATTGCTCAGATAAATTGTCCATTACCAAGGACCACCTTTTTCTTTGCAAATAATATTCTTTTGCTACAAGAACTGTATTTTCAGTTATCAGATCAAGTGTTTTTCTAGCAAGAAAGCTAGAAGAAAACTGAGGGTGAGGGGTAATCAAAACCAACAGACAAGAGAAAAAAGGGCATATATATATATATATATATATATATATATATATATATGGGGGGATGGATGGCAGAAATCCAGAGTCTAATAAACTGGTCACCTGGAGTGATGTCATAGTGGCTACACATCTACAAAAAAGAACAATGAATGTTTCTCTTCCAGATACACTTTCTGACAATGGTAACTACTAAGCATTTGAAAATCTTAGTATTTTAAAGCACTAAGGAAAAAAAAAAAAAAAAAGACATTTGTATTCTAGGACAAATAAAACAAATCTCTACTAAGAAGTTATTAATCAAAGGTTGTTTTTTTATGAATTTCTTACAAAAGGAATCTAGCAATTTCTCAACCAGAAAGTACAAAGTACCTACCTACCTCTAAACTAAATATCTCCTAATTTCAACACAGTAACATCACAGCACAAAAAGTATTAATGTCCTATTATTTAGGTGACATTTGTGTCTTCTACCAAACCATTCAAAAGTAAATGAAAGATATCTGTTCCTATGACACAGTAGAAAAGATAAGATAAAACATTAAATGGACTACAGCTTAACATTATCTTAAGATGAGAATAAAAAGTCCCTTAGGCAAATTACTTTGACTCCTTAAAAGGGTCTAATGATTCACATTTAGAACAGAGTATACATTCTAGATTAATTCCAAATTACATAAAAAAAATTGATGCCTGCAGAAGCTAATAGGTCACAGGCATTTTGAGATCTCGTTAAAGTTCCTGTGACACAGCTCCATGTTGATAACCACACCGATACTGCTAACAAAATGTTTCAACATTAAGATTTGTAAATAAAAATATTAAAAAAAAAAGTTTGGAAAATGTTCATTTAAAAAATGGACCATACCTGGTTACATGCAATATTGTATACTTTGAACATTAAATCTTAGACATTGATGTCAAATCTGTGGAGAAGAGGGAGCCATCTGCAAGACTTGTTACATGTTACTTATATTCTGTATTTTAGCCAATATTTCCGCAGATATCTTAAGAGATTTATCTATAGTTTTCCAGAGAAGTACTTTCAGAAAATTAGAAATTTAATTATGACAATTATACAAAGTAGTCTCTGCCCATCATGGTCGACATTTAATTACAATCATTGGGATTGTGTGTGGGATTAAATAAATTGCTAGGTCTGTTGCTAAGAAAGTTGGTTCACTGTTGTACAAGAGAATTTCTCTCCAGAATCCATCTTATATATTTATAAAGCCTACCATTTGTCCCTGCTTTGAATATTGCTGCTACATCTGGTGTTCCTGCTATATATTTAGAGATTCTTGATAAAATCCAGAGAAAAACTGCAATGTTATTAGCCCTGACAGATTCAGTCACTTTCTCACTGCGTTAATGTAGTAATTTCCATGTGCCTTTTCCGTTTTCATGATAATTGTTCTGATGAACTTTCCCCCTATGATACGTAGACTTTATGAATTTAAGCACAGTAATAAATAGGCCAGATGCAACTGTAAGTTCTATGCTAACAGTTTCTCTTGCAGTTACCGCTTGTGGAACACTCTTCTGGATTCTTGCTTCCCAGCCAACTTTGATCTTTAAAAATTTGAATACAATCAACAGTTATAGTTCCCACCCCCTCAATGTTTCTTTTTCACTCAGTAAAACCCTTGCATCTTAGTGGCTTTATTGCTTTGCTTGGGGTGAAATGATTAAGATATCTCTCTCTCTCATATATATATATATATATAAGTTACTAAGATCTATAGTAAGAAAAAATCTATCAGTTTATTACAATACATTTGTTTTGTTATTAGTATTGTTAATTTTTTTTTTTTTCTTTTTTACTAATTTATAAATTAAACTTTACTGGAAGTAAATCATGTATTTATAGGAAGTGGAAATTAAATAGCCAACAGATTGGGATGAGGAGCGGGGGGTTCTACTTTTAAACATTTTTTAAATCTTGCAGTTCCACAAGTTTGGTTCATATTTGATTGAAGATGGAAAGTCCACTCAGATTAATAAAAAAAAAAAAAAAAAGTGCACTTTCCATCTGCTCTCTTTATCAATGATTTTAAATTTGTTACATTTATTTTTACTGGTTTAAGTAAAAACAATAACTCCCTTGGGAAAGATATTAATCCACTACTTCTCACCTCATCTGCGATTTGGAAAAAAAAAAAAAAAAAAAAATTCAAATCAGCAGAGAAAGCAATGAGAAATGCATTCATTATCTTTCCCCAAAATGGCACAGATAATAAAAAGAAGGACCTGAAAAGACATGGAATTGAAGGAAAAAAAATAAGAAAAATTAAAAACAGAAGAAAAATTACATTACTTTATTATGTTTGTTTTTTTTTTTAATAAAAATTAAATTTATAATTATTAAAAATCTATTTAACAAAAATAAAGAAATACCCCCTCCATTTTATTAAGATTTCAAAGCGTGTATTTGCAATCCAAATATTGGATAAACCGTTATTCTCTTTTCACAGAGACAAAGCTTAAGCAATTACTTCAACAGCCATTATAACAACATTTTGTCATTAGTCTTCAAGAGGGAAAAAACATTAAACCTACTTCCTTCAGATCATTCACTTGGGTAATGTAACCAGACTGGGCAGATTCCAACTGCTGGATGTACCTACAAGAGAAAAAAAAATCATTAACAAGCCAACCTTTAACAAATAATCCCTATTACAATATGCAAAAAGAGAGTGGGGGAGAAACCTCATCTCACCGAGTAGTTTCTTATAACTATTGTCTTCTCACAAGCTAATCACCCCCATTCTGACCTTGTGCCAGACTAACCTTTCCTACCCATTTCCTATAGATTTCAAAAACAATTACAACTAATTGGATAAGTTTCTTCCTTTCACCAAACAGAATTCGAACAATGTCTTGTACAGTTTTGTGAGATCTTATAAAAAGGAAGACAAATAGTACTAAAAAGTCACAAGAATATCTTCCATCTAAACAAGAATAAATGACAATCCAAGATGCTAACATTCAGTTAAAGCAAGTGATTTCTCACACACAGACAAATGAAAAATTAGTTCAACATTAACTTAAAGATAAAAAGTACAAACTATGTTGAAAGAATAAGATTTTCTCAGTGTTTTTTGTTGAATAGTATTCTGATAAAGATTTTTATTGCTTTTGCCACATCTTTTGTCACTTATTCTAATTAGATGACACCAACTATAATTGGTAAGGTGTGCGGCCAAAAACTTTCATTTATTCTTATTAGTATGTTAATAAGAGTGACAAGGCAAGAAGATAGGATGAAGATTAAGTAATAATAACCATTAAAGAAGTTTTGATAAAAATGGAAATATGTAAGTAATTATCTGTGACTAAAGGGTGATAAAAAGGAGTCTAATGACTAAAAATAGGAGTAATGTAAAAGAGAGAATCCATAAGTACACAAATATCCAAGTGGATACATATACATGATCAGAAAATAGTCAAGAAGTTTACATGATCGTGAAACTTGGGTTATGGCTAGAGCCATCCTTTCATAGAATTTAACATTAAACATTTTATTTTTTTTTTTTTGCTCAGTCTAGGCAATCTAGGCTTCAAGCACTTTATTTTACTGAGTAGATAAGTTTGCCTTTAGGCCTTTTTTCAGTATTGTAGTTATCTGGATAAGAGTTCTAGGTTTTAGCAAGTTATCTGTTGTTCCATAGATGGCTTTTGTTTTCTTATATATATATATATATATATATATATATATATATATATATATATATATATATATATATATATATATATGATTTGTAATCTGTAGTCAATATTAATTTTGCCAAATTTTCTTAATTACACAGCGGCCCTTTCAGTAAATGCCCTTCAGTTTTAGTTTCCCCCGCCTCATCTCTCTCCCACACCCTTTTTCTTTTTTCCTCCCTCCCTTTACTGATCTTTAAGATTAGATCGTCTATTGCGTGTGTATGTCACCACGAAATGTATCCTTTCCGGTTACATCTTTAATGTATTAGACATCCGACAACATTCATATTTCTCTCACTTAAACCTCTCCAACTCACCTCTCTAAAACTTCTCTCTGTTAAGGTTTAATCTCCCACCTTCTCTCGTCTGTTACCCCTCTCTTTAGCTCTAACATTTGTCTCACACTCATACACTCTCTAAATTCTATTTTTATTTTCGAAATTATTTTCTTTTTGAATTCGTAGGTCTGATGAATTGGATCGTATTTATGATTCCAATGGAATAAATTATGACCATGGAATATTAGTGTTTAAGCGTTATATATATATATATATATATATATATATATATATATATATATATATGTGTGTGTGTAAGAGAGATAGTACTGCATAAAATTAACTGGAGAAAAAAAAAAAAAAAAGTGAGTGAACCCTTATATACTGCTTTTGCCGGTGCAATTTCTTATGCCCATGTTCACTTTTGCACATTTTAACATGACCTCATGTTATTCAAACAACGAGAAAGCAAGTCTTGCCAAAATTGGACTGCTGGTCTCCCCATCCCTCTAGTCACTTTTATTGACTGGAGATAGCTGACAAAGACCCGGATCTGAACCAATTGCAGGGAGGACCCTATCTGGATATCACAAGCTGTTCCACTGCTAATGAATGTGACTAACTGCCATCGACAGACATTTTCACCTGTTTTGCATCTGAACTGACATGCAGGTGCCACAGGTAGATGTTTTTTTGTAGAGCCTTTGAAGTCAGCTAACAGTTTGCAAGTGAAATAAAGTGATTGATAAATTGGTACTTACCATTGTTGGTCCCTGCATTTCTGATAGAATGTAGGTGGGCGTACTTGAAACTTCAGAATAAGAGTGTCATTTTGTGTATCTAAGTAACCTTCACTAGCAAGCAAGTCTAGTCGGAAGAATCGGTTGTAACCCCAACATTCCCCAACCTCAAAATCTGAGGCAAATTCCCTGACAATGTTCTTACTGGCATCTTTTGATGCTTGATGCACCATTTCAACTCTGTATTCATATCTGCAATTGACAAAAAGGAAACAAAATAAATAAACAGAGATAAAAGTTTATGAATGGGTGGGAGGGGCGAGAGCGCACGAACGGGTGAGAGCGTGAATAAAGGGCGAACGGGTGCGAGGGGTAAGAGAGATGGAGAGAGAGAGAGAGAGAGAGAGAGAGAGAGAGCAAGAACGGGTGGGAAAAATATCGAAAATATTGTGCATTGAATTATTTTTTTTTTTTTTTTTGTGTGTGATGAAAAGCAACTAACAAACAAAACACAAACAGCCACTTGGGACTCATTATAACGGGGAATAAATGTAAGAATGAAAATGCTTTTAGTTTAGATATGACAAGTTAGTTTAACATTCTTTAGCTTTATCCCATAGGACAGGAGTCAGTAACCTTTTGCTATGTGCCAACTTAGCATTTTAAAAGCGTTCAGTGTGCCAACAGCATATGTATTTTTATAGCAGTCAAGGTCAATATATCTTTCCTACAATATATAAGCACTACACACACTAACAACAATGGTTTATTCCAGCTGAAAAATTCACCACATTGAGCTAGAGTTGTGCAGAACTGTCCTTGAGTGAACCCAACCACTCACCCATGAAACATGGTGGAGAGGTCTATTTCCATGAAAGATCTTGAAGTTACAAAAAATCAATAATCTGTGGACAGCATGACTTGACATCTCTGCTGATGTCTTCAGACTACTTGTGGAATTGATGTCATGTCAAGCCACTACACTCCATCATGCTATTGAGGGTTCTACATGATACTAGGCATCCATTCTATGACTTATGGCACACCAAGAAGTCACACACACTATATATATATATATATAAAATTTCTGAAAACAAAATGGTATAGGCATTGCCATATGAAAATGACAACCTCCCATGGTACAGAATGAAAGCACCACCCCCTACCAAGAGTCATTTTTCCAACATGAAATGTTTTAAGGTTACACTTGTTCATAAGAAAAATGTGCAATTTTCAATGACTAAGATACGAATGAGAAATTGTTAGCTTAATTCAAAATATAGTAAAATGCTTACTTTCAATAAATAATTCTTACTTGTCCATTAACAGATTTCATGCCTCCAATGTGAGGACATGCAGTATTATAAATAAAACTTTAAGGAACAAACAACATTCAAACAGTAAGTTTAAGATATATATAACAAAATCTAAAATTAATCAATATGGGGAGTAGCCTAGTTTGGCAGATGAAGATATCAGTCATCTATCTTATCAACCTTGGTGTAGAAACAGAAAACACGATTTTTGACACAAATTCAGTGCACACCAAGGTTGATAAGACAGACAACTGATATCTTAGTGTGCCAAAATAGGCTACTCTTCATATCAGGTGATTTGGGATATGTTGCCATGCCTACACATGCGCATGAAACAAGATGCAGGTAGCTTTTTTTCAAGCTAGCCAAATTCATCTGTATTCTTTTTCTTTCCACTTTTGTCTCTGACTATACCACATTTTGACAACAGAAAATCTACCAAGAAGATAGTCACGGACAAAGGTGATAAGAATACAGTTGTAATTAAGGGTGAAAAAAAAAAAAAAATTTTTCAAAAATTTTGAAAACTTGACCAGCATCTGTAGACATGGCAACATCAACAAAGCCCAGTCCAATGAATAAAACTGGTCAGAAAAACTTTTCCAGATTATATATATATATATATATATATATATATATATAGTAGCGTCCAAAACTAAGGGATAAAATTTTAAAACCTAATATTTGTTAGAAATAACTGTGAAAAGCTGAAATTTTGACAACTGGTACTCGTTATCATCCATAATAACATACTAAAATTTGAATCATTTGCAAAGGATAGAAAAAGAATTATAACAATTATTTATTTTCAAATTTGGAACGTCCAAAAGCAAGGGACAAAATTGAGAAAAACAATGTAAACAGTATGGTATATTCAAATTTTTTGATTTCCTCTAAAGAATAAGTCTTAGTCATTTGTAAATGTTGCATCAGCCGGCACCATGGCGAAACGCCAAAAACTTGATTACTCTGTGAGAAACTTGATTAAGCTGTGAGACAAGCTATTTTTCATATGCTTTTGTGGCAGGACAAATGGCTGCACCACCATGACAATGCACCTGCTCACAACACCCTGGGCATCTGGCATTTCCTGGCCGAGAAGAAAATTGCCTTACCAGTACAACCTCCATATTCATCTGATCTTGCTCCGAGTGACATTCTTTTCACCAAGCTCAAAGGGACCCGTTTTGAAGGTATGTGGGGGTAGTGGATGTCATCAAGTGGGCAGTAATAATGGAGCTGCATCCAAAAAGAACCCTTCTAGCAGTGCATAGAAGCATGGCAGAGAAGGATGGAAAGTGCATTAGACTTTAGAGGGATTACTTTGAAGGAGAAACCATGTAGTTTGTTGGTTGGAATTGAAATAAATTGTGACACCAGTCGTCTCGTTACTTTTCAGACTCTCCTCATACACAATATACCAGAAGTGTATCCCTCCCCTACCTCACACACACAATGTAATACATAAAAGAAAAAATTAAATAAATATAAGTCTATTACTTGGAAGTTTCTGGAAGCCCAGCAGACAATTCTAGAAATACTGAAAGGTAATTTCCCCGGACAACGCCATTGCCATCCTGAAAAGGAGAAAAATCAAGACAGACTTCATTTCAAATCTTCACAAAAACAAAGTAAAATTTTTTATTTCAAATACTGTTTATTTCTTATATAAAGATGCTCCACCCCTGCTTACCAATAATAATCAATAAATATTTAAGTATTATTTAAAAAAAAAAAAAAAAAAAAAAAAAAGCTATTAGTGGGGACTGTATATGACAAAATCTACCCTGCTTACTCCTGCCCCAAACCAGGCACATAGACTGTAACAATTACTTCATTTTTACAAATTAAATCAGCAGTTGGAGAGAAAATTTCTAACAATTCTGTCCTCTTAGGAAAGGCAAAATTAGTCATTTCCATATAAGAAAAATTTGCCATTCCTTGACCAAGCAATTAGCATTACTGTTAGTTGAAATTTACAATCTCTTAAAACAGTTTTTTTAGGAAAAAAAAATTTCTCTAGTCCACAATACTGGATTCAATTAGTTTCCTTTCTAAACTTTTGCTGAAGGTAATTTACAAAAAACAAAAACGTTGATTATATCATCACCCCACTTCTAGTTAAATTTCCTACCTATTTTTGTTGTTGCTGTTGGAAGTCTTCAAGTTTTGCAGTTTTTGTTAAAGTTTTTGTGATTATGTAGTGCCAGTCTATAGGATTTGATGAAGGATTCATTTGCTATGGTTTAGATATTTCTGAATATTTTTTTGAACATGTTGCATATCAAACATGCTGGCCATATGAAAGTCTAGGTCTTTAATAATCTAAATGGGCTCAATTAGATTTGAATCATGTATTTGTTTTATTTAATCACAGGATTTGAATCATGTATTTGATTTATTGAGAGAGAAAGAGAAATCTATTTCTTAAATTAAATCAAAAAAGAATTTTTTTTTTTTTTTTTTTTAAATAAAAACTCATTCTCCTGCTAAAATTGAAAGCAATACTCACAGGATAAACTTTAAGCCTCCAACTTAAACCAGAAACATGTAAAGGTTGGCTGTAAACTGGATCAGCCCTTTGCTGCAGGATTCCAAAATTCTCCATCACAAAAGCACTTGAATCATATTGAGGAACAATTTCACTAAGAATGGGAAAAGAGAGAGAAAAAAAAAAAAAAAAATGAAATATCTGTCTATATTTCCAAGACGAGGTATTGTAATTATTTACAATTGTTTAGACTATTGTTCTCATATTTGTTGCCATAACCACAATGTTATGACTTGTACACTCCAGCAGAGGTGAACAAAAACTTGGAGAGCCAAGTTAAAAGTGAGATAACTGATACAGAGATATCCAGAAGAGGCATGGTACATGGAACTAGAACAATCTACACCGCTGGGTGAAATAAAGAGTTCTGTTTGAAATTCCAATCACCTGAAAAAGGCTGGATCATACAATGGTGAAAAAGTAAATATGGCAACAAAGATGAAGACAACAGTTCAAACAATGTAAATAGTGTAAAGAAGAAAGCTAAGTTAGCAAAAGATAAAAGTTAATCGCACACAAAGTTTATATTTTGATGGTGAACATCATAAGAATTGATCATCAATAGTCATAAATCTTTTTCTTTTCTTGTTGCAGACATGTTACAATGTAACAGGTGTGAAGAGAATAAATCAATATATAATCAATGTACTTTTGTATTTGTCATTTTAATTTGTTGGGAGACATTAGTTAGGTGTGATGGCAGCTTACAAGTGACAATACTAGTCAAACCATGGTAAGAACATCCAAGGCAAATGGTTATATTTTTTGATGATTGCCTCCAACTCTAAAGATAATCACAAGAGGGACTTTGTAACACTCTTGGCTCCCTCTGTGTTGAAATGTGTCATAAAAGGAAAAAAAAAAAAAAAAAAAAAAAAAATTTGTCTCTCCTGCTGTCATAGCAACGGGCACAGTCTCCACTTCTGAGACGAACTGCCCTCCTTCTCATCCCATTACATAGAGCTTGGTAACTTGCCCATGCAAAACACCAACAAGCCAGCTACTAATCACAGTTTCCACTCGCTTTGGGGGTGTCAAGTTGACTGACCAACTCATTACACCCTCCAAACAATTTTGACTCCATTAACGTTACATGCAGGGAATAACAGGTGCTTTTTTTTTTTGTTTTTTTAGAGGTAATCTTGCAGTTAGTGTAACATATCGGCACAGAAAGTGGAATTGACAAGTTCAAATTTCAGTTTAGTCTGTTCTTGGCTGGGTATCCATCTCTTCTCCATGCCAGCTATGAAGAAGGAACCAGAAACCTCTACTCCTGTTCAAAAGGATTGAGTCACTCCTCGAACTTTTGAACAGGAGTAGTAGTTTATCCCTTGTTTCCCCCCCATTTAGGATTAGGTTTCTAGTTCCTTCTAAGTAGCCCTTTGCATCTTAGTGGCATCATTGTCTTGTTTGGGGTGAATTGATTAAAAAAAAAAAAAAAAATAAAAAATAAAAAAAAAAAAAAAATAAAAAAATAAAAAAATAAAAAAAAATAAAAAAATAATATCTATGTAAAATTTGTGATCATTTTTTTTTTTTTTTAATATACAAAAATGATCAGTGGGAAATGTCATGAAGCCATTTCTAACATCAGGTGTGGACCTGAAAGGAAATGTACATACAACAGAAGTCAAAGGAGCTAATGTTATATATCTCTAGGTAAAATGATAACAAATGGAGCATAATTCCACTGTATGTAACATTCAATTTAAAAGAGCTCATTACAGATTAGAGATAAATATTATTTATTTTAGGATATTAAAAAACAAACATGTTAAAAATTGCTACACAATTACAATGACGTTTCAACACTACAAATATGATGCCTACAGGAAATGTCAAACCACTGGTGAGCAAAAAATGAATTCAATTTCAAAAGTTGAATGTCAGGCTTTGATACATCTTACAAAATAATGTAACAATTTGTATCTGTCTATAAGAAAATTGTGTAGGATTTATATGCAGACAACTGTCTTGACCTATATTAAAAAATTTTTCCACCGAGTTTGAATTTAATGTATATAACATTTGATTGGTTAATCATGGCAAAGCCCACAAGCCTTTTTTTTTTTCCTTTTTTTTTTTTAATGTATTCTGCTCTTGAAATTAATCTTTCATGTCCCAGTAGTTTAGCATTGACAAAGGAAACATTTATAGTGTTAAAACAGGATTGTAACCATGTAGTGATTTTTAACATCTTACGTTTATACATTCTTTTTATAGATACAAATATTTAAGTAAATGCTCTGCTTATAATAAAAATTAAACAACATTTACCGGCCTGAATGCCCAAGAAATTACTCGGGTGGAGGACGAATATTTTTCTATGAAAATTTCTTGGACATTCAGACTGGTAGATGTTGTTTAATACTTTTTATTATAAACAGAGCATTTACTTAAATATTCGTATCTATAAAAAGAATGTATAAACATAAAAATGTCTTAAAATGATTGTCAGACTTTCATAATGTGTGACATTATATATATATATATATATATATATATATATATATATATATATAGAGGAAATAGAGAGCCGAGTTCGAATTCCAGTCGAATGTATAAAACAAAAATGTCTAAAAATAATTGTCGGACTTTGTCCATTTCATATATATCATACTTATTATAAAACCAAGGTTGTGTGTGTGTGTGTACGTTTATATATTGGATCGGATTTCCTACATTTTTCAACTGATTTCAGCAAAACTTCACAGGACTTTTTAAAAAATTACCTTGCGGCGGTGGTTCTGATAGCGCCTAAAAATTGGAAAAACAATTGTTTTTTGCACGAAATCAATTTGAAAACACGATTAAGAGGCATCGCCGTCACGAGAATGAAAGGGGGACAACTCATATCAATTATTATAAAACCCAGGTTGTTTGTGTGTGTGTGTTCATTTATATATGGGATCGGATTTCCTACATTTTTCAACCGATTTCAACAAAACTTCACTTTTTTTTTGGCAGGTAGTGTTTCTTATTGTCTTGCACACTTTTTTCTTTATTTTTACATTCAGAATGCTTTGAAATTTCCATTTACAAGACAATTGTTTATAATAAAATTCTATTCAATCGGTAGACTCATAACGATTGAAAACAAAAAACAAAAAACAAAAAAACAACAAAAAATATTATCAAGACATGCGTGTCCGTCAACCTTAAACAATAATCTTTGTCAATTTTATTTTTCAGTCTTTATGATGGTTGATACTTGATCTATCTCTTACTGTTACATCCCGTTACAACGCCGGGCTCTACTGCTAGTATATATATAAAAGTAGAATGGACTCAAGCCTTGGCAAGAGAAGAAAAACTGAATTGCAAACTGTGCAAAAGGCAACAAGTGGAAACTACTCCACAATCTTGAAAGTTTTAGATAGGTATGGTATTTGTAAGAGACTAGCTTGCCCAAGCAGTCACTCACTTCTCCTGAATGATGAGGGTCATATGACAACCAGATCAATGACATCAGTTCATAGAGTTATGAATGCCAGTTACTATTTAGCATGGCCAGGAGCAAGAAGTGTTGTCTTACACCAGTTGCTATACAGACAACAGAAAAGACAACTGTCCACAGCATTTAATAATATTTTTTTTTATAGGTTACAGGTTTTGGGGAAATAATAGCAATACCATTAATACAATCCAACAGTCTGAGGTAATGTCGAAATGCAGACATACCAGTAAATATACCCAGACCCAGTACGAGCCTGTTCCTTCAACTATCCCCTTGCACCCTTCCTTCTGATATATCTGGTTTGTAGTGCATTGATAGTTTATTTAAGCAGGTATGAATAGAGTTAGATTAACCATCCACGAGTAACTGCTCTGACGAGACCATAAAGGTTGAAACCTTGGTAGTGCATTGCACACGGATTTTTCCTAATTTTATATTTTATTAACAGTTCTACAAATTCAATTTTTCTGAATTGTGTATTTAAAAAATATCCAAACATTGGTCTGACTCTAGTCTTGCCTACTATTTTTCTTATATATATATATATATATATATATATATATATGAGAGTGAGTGAGAGAGGCACAGTGGACTAAGACATAGCAGTTCAGCTTGAGGAATCAGAGAGTAAAGTTTAAATTCCAATCTCGTTCATTACATGCAAATACCCTTTGGAAAGGTATGAATACATCTTTTCTCCCCCCAGCTATGAATAATAGCAGGACATACTGGGTCCTATTGACTTGCATAGCAACTAGTCTTCTAGAAGGACAACTCTGAATTCAAAACCTAAGGAGGGTCATTTGGAGATCTTGTAGCACACTATCTACACCAGTTATCCATCTTCAACTCTTCCCAAAAATGAGTCTGGTTCTGCACAATCCTTCACCACTATAACCAAATCTTATGTGCAAGTAGTCCGGCTGTCCAGTACCAAGAACCAGGTTGCTGTACCCTCATATGTCAAAATGACAGGAGGGTCCTGTGTGTGTGCATCTCAAAACTTGAGTACTATACAAGTCCTGTATTGTTCCTCCAAAGAGCATGAAATGAGCAATACCTATGTAAAGCACAAAATGAATCCAAGAGTTGATGTCAATATAATGGAGGTCTTTTCAACCTTAGACTCCAATCTAAATGTCTAACACAGACATGCAACAAATTTCACATGCTGATGATGCTGCCCTGTCATTAAAAAGAACTCCAACAATCTGAACTGCAATTTTGCTATAGCCTACCATTGTGTTGGTATTACAGTAAACATCAAAAAACCATGATCCTTGTACAGCCTTGCCAAAATACCATCTTACCGGGCTTTAACATTACCATCTGTGATACAGCTCAAGTAGAGCATTTTCCATATCTAGACAGCCTTTTATCAAACAAGTTCACCACAGAAAATGATGTGCAACACAGAATTAGAGCTGTACATGGGGAATTTAGAAAGCTAATTAAACATCTGAACTTAACAAAAATTATGGTCTATAATATTTTACTGTCATTTCAACTTTGCTGTATTGTTGCCAAATCTGGACTATATTTTCACAAAATCATCCAAAAATTAAAACTTTCACTAGCAAAACCTTCATTCAATCTTGAACATAAAAATTGAAGTGATCAACATTGAAGTCCTGGAAAGAGCCAATAGTCAAAGGATTGGATTGCCAATCAGTAAATCGGCATCTTCAAATGGTCAGGACATGTAGCAAGAATGGAAGAGTCAAGGTTTCCACATCAAGTCTTATACAGTGAGCTCACTTAAGGAAAAGACCACAAGGTTGTGCTCTTTAAAGATACAAGGACCAAATCAAAACCTCAAAAGCCACTGGGCTGGAGCCTAAATTCTTTGAAACAAGCCCCAATTGGCGATGTTCCATCATGATTGGAACCAAAAACTTCAAAGCCACCAGAGAGGGGAAGAAAAAAAAAAAAAAAAGGTCAATGTCATCTTCCAACATTACTATGCAGTCAATGCCATTGGTTCTTTCATGCAAGAATTTGTCTACTTAGTCATCAATGCCAACATAATGGGGAAAAAAAAAAAAAAAAAAAAAAAAATCAAACTCTTGGATAAAAGAAAGTTGATGAATAGTATAAAAAATTTTGCTGATAGTGATCATCGCATGACAAGAGACAAGACATTTTAGTTTTATACTAACCTGGTAAAATCAGCTGGTACTGGTGCAGTGACAAAAGATGCCATAGGTTTCCTGTGCACCTGTTTAAACATCTGCATGAGTTCCCCACTTTTCTCTATTAATTCACTTTTTCCACAGTCATTCAACTGTCCTTCAACTTCATGGATGAGATTCTCTAACAAACTAGTCTCCTGGGTCAACTGGTTTTTCTCACCTGACAGCACAAAAAAAAAAAAAAAAAAAAAAAAATTATTTAAAACTATGCCAATAAATTTCTAGAGATGGTCAATTAAAGAGGGAAAAAAAAAACAATCCAAGTTTTATTAACTGAATTTATTTATGATCTATCTATTTGTAGCATTAGATTTCAACCTATTTGTTCACTATTCTTTCTTTCCACTGCAAGATACAAGACTACAAATCTGATAGTGAAAGATTCCTACAGATTTATTTTATACATCCACAAATGCATAATCGCAGCCACTACCACTGAATACAACCTTATGTGAGGTAAACTCATTTCAAATTCAGTTCAGGGTTTTTTTTTTTTGTTTATTTCTTTTTATCTTCAGCCATATTGGAACTTCATTACATCGCCATTATGTCATTACTACTTTTCTTCATTAAGTTGTTGCCTTTTTCTCTCTAAACTATTTGTTGTTTACATTAATTTAATAGCAATTAAGACAAAATTCAAACTATTTTATGGATTTTACACAACTCAGAAAATAAAAATTTAAAACTTACATTTGTCATTAAATCAATTCTTTCTTTAAATTACTGTATTAAATGTGGAACTGGCCACTCAATGAATGATTTTTCTCAATGACTAGATATACCCAGGCACTGTCAAGCAACCTTGTCACATTGATTTTATACTCACCCATCAATGTTAACAGTTTGGTTTTCAACTGAGATTCTAAACGAGCAATCATCAATTCCACAGCATTCCGGATTTCTCTTACTCTTTCATCTTTGGCATTCTTCACACTTTCCATGTTACGTTCCTAAGAAAGAAAAAAAATTGTCAATATCTTATACAACATTTTTTCTCTTACTACCACATTGCTCACAAGTCTTCTTGATGCTAATACTGGGAAAACATAAAACCATCAATTTTAAATTAAAAGATATTTATACACTATCAACAGGTTTTACTAACCTTGATTATTTGCACATTCTGTTGATCCGTCTTTTTATAAGACAATGGTCATCATATCACACACGAGCAGGTGTATAAATTGCAGTTTCCAGTCATGTAAATTTCAATGCAATAAATGATGAGAAAAAGTTGAATTTTTATTCCCGCTGATCAATTTATGAATGGAAAAAAAAAAAAAAATAAAAGATAATGTCACAGGAAATTAAGAGTTGTGAGACTTTTATAGACAGCAGAAATAGAATTGAAGTTTCAATTCCAATTCATTCATTAGCTGATTTGCATTTCTGCCAATCAAAATAAAGCTAAACGTTTCAAAAATTCAAAATGGCGGAGTGGAGTAGAATATTAGACAAACTGAAAGTTTCTGCATCCATTCTCTTACTTATAAAAAATTATCTTTCCAGAGTGAATTGGTGAACCAACTACCAGTCACTAGTCCAAGGTAATTTTTTTAACACCAAACTTACAAACCAGGTGTATTTAGGTAGACTGCAGCACAGAAGAACTGTGAAGGATTAAACATCACCAATGTAAACCATGACAACTCTTTGACACACAGGGGTTGATTGATCTGAGAGTTGCTTCCTTCTTTCCTTTCAGTGTCACCTATAACTTCTGATCCTTTGATATTGGTTGGTAGAGGTTGTGATGATGAACTAACAGAGTTAAATACCCACATTTGTATCTGGTCCCAGTACAAAAATTCAAAAGGCCTATTTTCAACCCCCTCCCCCCCAAAAAAAACAAAACAAAAAAAAAAAAAAAAAAAAAAAAAAACAACAACAAACAAAACAAACACTTACAATATCTTGGACAAAACTGATGACTTCAAGATATCTTCTTTTCAGTTGTTTAATTTCATCTTTAATCTTTCGGAAATGTTCATCATACACACCATCCAGTGGTTTGAATGTATGCCCAGTATGCTACAAATAAGCAAAAAGATGTATACTTAATAGTATATTATCAATGGAAAATAATTTTGAAGTTTTCAAGGATTTCCAATTTATTTATTTGTCAAAATTCACTGTGAAGTGAAACATTTGAAATAACTTACTGTTCCACCCCAAAGGGCACATTTGTGGCAAATAGATTGTCGGCATATCCAGCAGTAAACACTCAATTTTTCCTGATGTTCTTCACATCTTTAAGAGAAAATAAAATATATTGAATAAGTACATAATGTTCAAAAATTTTTATTTTATTTTTATTTCCTTAAGGAAGGAAGGCAGGAATTCATTTTCCCTTCCAAGTAGGAGTAAAATAGGGCATACCATACTTAAAGCTCTCGATTTGAAAAAACTCAAATTTAAACAAGGTAAAAAAGGCAATAGGAAATCCATAGGAAATTGCAGTTCTGATCATATATTTTAAAAAAAAAAAAAAAAAAAAAAAGGGGGCCACATTTAAGTAATAAGAGGAAAGTTTTTAAATTTATCATTATCCTTAAATCTAATAAGATATAATGCAAAAAATATCTGCTAATAACCCCAAATGTTTGTTATACAGTTGTCATTCTTTAAATAAAAAAAAAAAAATGGTGCATTTTAATATTACACAATGATCTTACCGATGTGACCTCCATCTTCTGGCTTTCTCCTATATTTTGTATGGGAGTCATTCCCTTGTTCAAATTTGAATTTAATTGATATCAAAGGTGGGGGAAATTTTCTGTCAGAGTGTTTGTGCCACCCAGGGACCCCCTTTGATCAAAATGAAATATACTTATCCAAGTACCCTGGATAATATAGTTTCAGAATATATATGGTGATGGGGGTTTATCTCCAAAACCTGAGGAGGAGTTCGATAAACAAACCAACAGACAGAGTAGACAGACAAATGTTGGTATAAACCAAATTAGCAACTGTATACACTGGTAAGCAAATAAATATTTACTTAATATAAGGTGTAAACAAGACAGTGCTCAATGTCGTTAAACAGAGGTGTGTGTGTGTGTGTGTGTGTGTGTGTGTGTGTGTGTTACAAGGCTCATCCCCTTCCCCAAATTGAACACTGTCAGTCATTGGCATGTTTATTCACAGAATAAGTACGTAAAGATTCACTTTTCTTTCAACCAAGCGCTGATAGCGTAAGGGAAAAAAAATATCTGACCGCTACCAAATCAGTCGGGTTTCGATCCTGGCTTGAAGCAATTGGACGTCTAGTTACATGGTTGAGCTGTAATACAGCAAAACAGTCTGTAGATGACGTGTGTGTGTGTGTGTGTGTGTGTGTGTGCGCACACACATTCTTTTGGGCCCCAGCACAACTACTTCAATAATGGCCTGCAAGATCAGGCTGTTATAACCTATTTGAGAACAGGCACATTTTTTTTTAAAAAGTAAAATTCTTAAAGTAAAATTCTTAAAGAAAAAAAAAAAAAAAAAAAAAAAAAAAACTGAAATCATGGGAAATTTTTGTCATCATAAAAGATTCTTTAAAGGATTGATGAGAGGAAAGGAGATTAAAAGTTCTACCAATAAATACCTGTCTTTATCACCATCTTCAATTTTTGGCGGTGGTGTAAAATGTTGTAAAGAATCAAGCTGCTGAGTGACCTCTTCAACCCATCGACAGTTTACCAATTCATGAAGATGAAGTGGAGCCCTGAAATGACAAATTCTATAAGAAGCCAAACAAAACAGCAGCAAACAATTTTAAGAATTATTCAAAGTAGAAAATCTTTATATTTAATATTTTATTCCAACCCTGTTAAATAAAGGGAGATCTTTTTGGTGAATAAAAGATTTTAGATAACAAACCATATTTGTTGATCAAGATAGATACATATTACAAGCACATATTTTGGACTACTGCTAGTTGCAAGTTAGATTCTTTTTTTTTTTTCTGATTCCTTAAATGGTTATAAAACAGAAAAAATATTACCAAAGCAAGAAACAACAATATTAAGATGAACAGCAAGTCAAAATTGTCTCATCTAAGAAATTCAGACAACTTAAATATTTACTACCAATTCTCACGACCTATATAAAATACTATATAAAGGGTGTTCCAATAACTTGGAACAATTTTAAATGTGAATTAAGTTTAAGTATCTAATGATTTTTTTTCTTTTTCCTTCAGATTTGACAGACATTTGGGCAATATTATTTTTCACACATAAGTGCCATGACTAAAATAACATTATCCAATAGAAAAATAAATTTTCACCAATAACACTGATTAATTTACTTCTGACTTTGATCCATCTTAATGAAACACCCTTTATAACTAAGAGGGAGGCCAAATGTAGTAGAGATCAAGGTGAAAAACTCCATGATCCTTTCCTTAGCTGCATAGTAAGTGTTTAACACAGACTGCATATGGTATTGAATTCAGTGCTGTCCTCCTAAACTAGCTACCAACCAAGGCTTAAGAGCCCAATCAGTTTTACTATTTAACGCATAGCACGGGTGGTGAGAGAAGAAAGTGGATTCGTTGTTTGTAGTAAACAAAAAGAAGTGACAAAAGGGGGGTCAGAAAGTGTAGTGCGCTGTTCGCCGGCAGACCAGCTGTTCTTCCATAGTCGTCAGTCGCCTCAAGGAAATGGATCGAGAGACTTTCTCGGTCATTACACCAGGCAGTCATGAAACAGAAAGCAACTCAGCTACACCTACTTCGACTTCCTCTTTGTCAGTCAATTCGTATGTCCAACTATTGCATGAAGTCCACCGAATGACCCGAACCTTCTGAGTCGTGCTGCTGGCATCTCGCTTTTTATACCTGTCTGATACGGCAGAAATTTGCATGTGTGCAAATATCGTCTTTTGGACGAGATCTGCGCGCATAAATTGTGTCTTCGATAGCAGCCATATTTCTTTTCTGTGTTACTTTGCAGGCAAGACATGTTCGCACTCATTTTGAACTTCAAGGTAAGTCATGTCTTTCGTCACAATCACTTTCCCAAGGGTACTTGCACATAAATGGAATTCAGACTGATTTCTCGTTTATATAGACGCTATCCTTTACAGTACAATGTTGTGACAATGATGACAATACAAAACTCTGGTATGAACATCATCCAGACTTGGCCACAACATAGGATCTGTAACAATTTTGTTGGACTTTGCAATACACACAAGCAGAACAATCAAAGCTAATCCCCCACCCCCAGACATTGTGATTAAAGACCATAAAAACAATGAGCTATCTTATTGACATGGTAGTTCCTGCAGACTAATGTTTCTTTGAAGATCTTCAAAAATACAAGGATCTTAAAGTGGAAATCTCAAAAATGTGGCACACAAGGACATCAATAATTCCAGTTGTAGTTTGAGCCCTCTGTTTAATTGGAAAAGATTCCAATAGACGCATTTAGTGTGCAGAGTTCAAATCCTGGCCAAGTTTGTTGCATTCACTTTCACACAAATACCCTTGGGAAAAGTATAAATCTTCATAGCTATTGGTTAAATAGTATGGCATATTAGGCTCTCTAGCATTGGTTAACAACCAGTCAAGGAGGTGAAAAACAATTCAAAACCAGTTAAGTGCAGAAGCTGGTAACTACTTGGTATAAAAAAAAAAAAAAAAAAAATTACTAAAAGAAACTACTGTAGCCAAATGTCACACAGGAGAATTTAACCCTGCCCTAATGGGGAGGAGATAAGTGAAGGTGTAGAAACTTGCAATCAGCCTAAAAATGTATTTTTAAGGCTTCCATTTTAAGATGAAGGTTCTTTTCAAAAGTACATTTGTTTTAAGTAGATCAGTAGTTTTACAAGTTTGTAACGATAGTAAAGTATGTAAGTGACTTTACCTGCAATGTGGACATTGTGATCTTTGCTCTGTTAACCAACGCTGGATGAGAAAAAGAGAAAAAGAAATGGAATGCAAGAA